TGTGTGTGTGTGTGTGTGTGTGTGCGTGTGTGTGTGCGTGTGTGTGTGCGTGTGTGTGTGCGTGTGTTGTCATATTCGCTATACACTCGAAAAAAGCATGACTGTACCAGACTGTTTCGTCGGACTTTCACTGACTCAGTGTGCGTGTGTGTGTACTGACTCCAACGAGACCAGATGAAAATAATGCGAACATGCAATCGTCTCCTCAGATCAGCACCGGAATACTCTGTGTGGCAAAGATAAAACGCCAGTCATATTGGAGGAGGCTTCACAGAACAGCACCAAACTATGCAGATAAGATAAAACGTCAGCAGGTAGGGTTGTGGGAGTCAAGAGGGCACCAAACTCTTGTGGTTAAGAAAAAAAGCCAGTGGACAAGAACGAGGGGGGATGACGCGGCAGGGGCACAAAGATTGCATCTGGATTCAAACTTGTGGCTATGATCTCTCTGCCAGTCTCCACTGCGTACACCAGCCCCACCACCTTTCCTTCTCTATTTTTCTTTCTTTCTTTTTTCTTAATAATTAAGGGAGATGGCCTTGAGATGTCATCACTGAACTGACTGTTCCCAGGTAATTCAGAATAATTCTACTCGGCTCATCTGATTGCATCTGGATTCGAACTTGGGTCGTGTTTTTTCTTAACAGTTCATGTCTGTAAACCAATGGAGAATAAGAGGCTGGCAGAAGGCGGCAAAAAGCAGCTTCAAACGATACGTGTTTGTGGTTGTTTGCAGCAAAAAGCCTATGTACGCGTACCTGAAGACGAGGATGCTCATTCGCCGTGGCATCAATTTTTGCAATAACTACACTTGGAACATCTCTGAAGGCGGCGCCGAGCTTGTTGAATGTCGGCACAAGATCCTTACAGTGTTGACACCAGGGTGCATATGCCTGCACATCAGTGTCAGAAAGAGATCGAACAACACCAGGACGCACCCAGGTTTCCTTGTCAGAGCAGAGGAGCATTTAGAAAGTCAGGATGATGCTGTGTTAATTGTTTATTCTCTGTTGCAGTGTTGCATACCACGACCATCAGTGCCCCTTAACTGGTCGGACGCATACCCCGACTGTCGGCGCCCCTTGACTGGTCGGCACCCCTACCGGTCGAGGGTCGTCGGCACCCCAGATATACAATATATATATATATATATCGTCAAATAGAACTGCCCGGTAAACCGTAGGCAGAGAGGGAGAAGAGGACAACAAACAAGGGGCTGTGACAAACTGTTTAATATATATATATCGTCACAAACAGAACTGCCCGGTAAACCGTAGGCAGAGAGAGAGAAGAGGACAACAAACGAGGGGCTGTGACAAACTGTATATATATATATATCGTCAAATAGAACTGCCCGGTAAACCGTAGGCAGAG